TTTTTAAAGAATAGTGTGTGAAACAGTATACAATAAGCAACAAATGTTTCAGAGTAGTATGCTAAAGTGTTGTCACATGACAAACACTGAACATTAATTCAGCACAGCTGTCGAGGCTGTTACCTTACAAATAAATCTGCTAACCATTGTTTTTACAAAGGCTTGCTAATAAAGCTTCATAATCATACTAGTAAACAATGCTATATCGCCCAATTGAACTCATTTCATAATTGATGAACTTTGCATATTGAACAGAACTGAATCAACACTGAGCTGTCTTTAACTGAACAATGATATTTTTGGCAGTTGATGATATTTTTGGCCAATGCAAATAATGATAAATTCTGTTTACACTGAAATAGCAGCATTTTCTTTAGCAACAGGCATGTAAATAGTAGTTAGGTGGCAGATATTTATATTTCAGTACTGTAGTAGATTATAAAACAGTATACAATAACATTGAGTATAAATTATCATACTTATAAACTTTATTAGATGAATGCCACTTTATTGGGACAAAAAACCGTGCACCTTACAGAAGCCTACCTAATAGGCGTTTTATTTTCACTATTCAAATATTTACTTTATTTTATTGAAAATAAATACTTTTCTGATGGGAAAAGGAGAAGCAAGAGTTTCGCAAAAGGCGGACTCGAACTCGGGTCGATCTCAAAAGTCGTCTTTTACTCGCAATGCCACGATACTACAGAAAACACGTGTCTTTGGCAGCGCTGTTCATCACAGACAGGCGGACTTAATGTAGCCTCTGCCATCATTTGTTCTTAAAGTAAATATACTAATAAATATATATATATAATATTATATTATAACTGCAGTATTATTATTATTATTTAATATCTTTGAATCCGTACTGTATAAAGCGCTATAGAGATAAATGTGACATCATTTGACTTGATCGGAAATGTGCCGTAGAAATTAAAGTACAATTTATGTCCTACTAACGATATTTTTTTTAGATACACAGCTATAGTTAATTTACATTTATAGGTATATGTACATATAAAAGTGTTACATTTATAATTACTATTCCCCGCCTCCAGTTCACTTACGCGTTTGAAGATGAAACGTCACATGGAGCATGTTGCGTTCTGGAAAACAGTATCCAATGCAGTGTCTTCAGATCATGCATACATCAAATTTCAGCAAATGTAGCAGGTAATCTGGGAACTTCATGCATACAGAAAATTCACATACTATTCACATTATACACATACCATACTGCAATATAGTACGAGTTGTATGGTAGTATGCCATTGCCAACACAGCTTCTGTACTGGTTTCAGTGTACTTGAGTTATATTTAGCAGATTCTGGCAAATAGGTCATCCGGGTATTCCATGCATAAAGAAAATTTGCATACTATGCACAGTATACATACTGGATACTGCAGAAATAGTAAGATTAGTATGATAGTATGGCATTTCGAACACAGCAAAACATGTCTACTCTTTGATGAAGCAGGAGCAATGTAGTACAGAAAAGAGAAACCTAAACTAAAGTATCAATCTCATCAGGCTGGTATTGATCCGATACCAATACCGGCATTGGTATCGACACTATCGATAATAGGATTGATCTGCCACCACTTTTTAAGCCTTAAGGTCATTGCACACTGAGTCCGAAATTCTCATCCGAAATTTTTGCACGTTAAAAAATAAATACGACCTCACGTTGTGTCAATCACATTTACACGCTGCCTCCGAAACGTTTGTCCGTCATAAAAATATTCGGACCAGGTTCGATTTTCTGCATTCTCGCATCCGTAGCAAGCATTTTGATAGGAAATGATGACGAATATGAAAAAATTGAAAAACGCATACGAAAATTTCAGACTCAGTGTGCAAGGGCCCTGGAGATATCAGTAGACATAGCGAATGAGTCATCCCCAGTATTTGATATTCTTTATTTGCTGCTCTCCGTTGCTATGTTGTTAGGATGACAAAAAGGTATTTTTTTAGCCTGTCCTCGTAAGGAAGGCATTCCAACGGTTGGGCAACAGTCCCATCCTGAGAAAAGCACAAACGATGCTGATGTGTTATCTCTTCTTGCTCCCCACTCTCTTTGTGATGATACAGAGCAGTCGGGGGAATGGAGCCAATGCGAGGGAACTCATTCAGACTCTGCAGAAGCGGATGATGAATCAATGAAGGAGGATTTTTCCTTAAATACTCTTATAACTAGAATATGTAGTGCCGCCAAGTTTGTTGGCCTGCAGTCTCCATTGCCTGATCCAGTTCCTGTTGGGGGTGTATAGGAAGGCATATCCCAGAATAATTCTGCACCTTGTATTCCAGTGGCAGACGATTATACTTCTATGTTGAGAACAGCGTGGAAGAAACCGTTTCAAAAGCCTCAATTTAATGCAGGCTGTAGAAGGTTGGCTATAAAGTGCTAAAAGTACAGTAGCATTATAATTGCCAGAATGAAAGGGTCAGGCAGAGTTGGCAAAATTTTTTGAAAACTTAACTTCTATTAAAATAGAAAAAACTAGTACATAGCACATGGCATACCTTTGCATATTCCTGCATATTCTTGTCCTGCATTGCTTTATTGGCAACATTTTCTTACTATCATCAATATAAATAACTGTCCTTATATATTTATACTGTATATTACATTTTTGTCATAATCATATTAATAATAATAATTATCATTGTAATATCAAAGATTATTTTTAATTTATAATATTTTTAACCTATACACCAGACATAATAGGATAGGGTTCTAAATGATGATGATGATGATCATCATCATCAC